AGGTCAAATGTGTCTAAAATGAAGTCGCATTGATTTCATTATTCAGGTACGAGACAATTTGGCGAGATTTTTTTCAATCAGGGCAGCATTCAGCATTTTGGAGGATTCCCTCCCATATTACTTTCTCCAATGTTCTCCGTATATTCAGAAACACGAAGCAAATCAATGACAATTTGTGTGTTATTCACTCAGTTTAATCTGATCAGACTTAAGCGATTGCAAACATATGGTTGCAGTATGTCAGTTCAGGTGAGTACCGGGTAAATTGTAGTCTGTGCACACACACTGCAATGCCTACTAACAGTCAATGCATGATCCAAACAATTCAGCAATCATTCAATCCAGGGAACTAAAAACTAAAAGTACCTGCATATTTATTAGAAGAAAACTATTAATATTCACTAGAACCAAATGAACAGCGTTATTACCCAACAAATATGCATTCAGAATTTTATCAATTTTACGCTGTCTGTTTTAAAGATGTTGTAAAAAATGGTCTTCATGATATTCTTAAAAAGTAGCATCAAAGTACTGGTATATGTTACCTGTACAAGGAGAGCACATGCATTCCTGCAATCATCTTTCTTATTCCAGAGTAATTGAATATTCTCTACATGCTTTAGACTGTTTATTCTTTTAAATTTAATCATAATTATTCAATTTACTCTTCATTATGAGACAAGCAGCAGTACGTAGCACATCTTTAGTATTATTCACAAAATGAAATACTCCAACAATACTTAAAACTATTCACTGGTACAATTGTGTTACCTCTAATTATACATGTAAGACATGCAGACAAAACAAATCCACGTAATCAGATTTAATGGGGAATTGAAAAAACCTTTTAACACACGTCTGTCTATTCCTTCAATCTTGTCAGTATTCAGCTCCATTCAGCCTCGCACACACGCATCAAACTCATCAGAAACTCACAAAAAACTGACTGGAGTTCAAGCTCCCAGACTAATAGATGTTTTGAGTTTTATATTAGCTACATTTCTGGGTACAGCATCAGTGATGATTACTTTCATTACTCCAGATTTTCTTGGCTGTTGCCAATCACGTATTTGCTTGAACAAACAGATGCTTGACTACAAAGAAAACCCGAATTATGCTATTTGCCATGCTCCATTGGTGTGCATGAATAATAGATGACTTTTTTTCATAATTTAAAAATGTATTTTCTTTATCCTATATATCACAGCAGCTGTGTCTGATGAAGTAGCATGATTTTCTGAAACTCCTTGAAGATCAGTCTTGTTTTGTTATAAATGAACACTGGTTTTTTTAATGTCTGTAGAGAATTGCAAAATATCAGATGATGACGCACATGGCTCTAGCATGGTTTATTCTGTATAACAATTACTGATATGAGTGGAACTTTCACCAGCAATCAGACTAAAGAGGAAACATGCAGTTACACCCTGCTAACTTAATTCTCAGTCATCGTAATAGATAAACATACACTGTAGTGTTATTTGCATTCATGGTAAGTGGTTATAAAATTGAGGTGTCACAGTACACCATCAAATTATTGTTTTCTCTTACCTGCATGTATATACTATCAATTTTATCACACTGAAAACTGGCAAATGTGATGTACATTTCCAAACCCACAATTACTGCTGCTTATGTGTATAATATAATAATTAAAAGACTCCAAAGTTATGAACAATATTTTCTTTCATTTTCATTCATATTTCAGAAAACATGAACATGTAAATCATTTTTAGAGCACTGACCCTCTCAGTGTACATTATATACATGTACTTGTTTGTGTGCATATATTGAGCGAACAAATCAGAAGATATTATCCTGTGTTTCTGCATTAGGTATGTCAAAATAGCATAGTGAGCAAAACATTTTGAATTTGAACTTGAAATGAATACATACTGTACATGTAGCCATTGATTGTAACCACAACCACTAAAAGCATACTGATTGATCTACTTTGCCATTAAACAATTAGCAAATTAATGAATCACATAAAATCCAGGTTTGAAATCAATTAAAGCTGAAAACTAGTTTATAAAAAATGAAAATGTCCCAAGGCAAAGACAGGCAGATAGTGCAATTAAACGATGGAACTACCGGGGGTAACCCTACGTGCATGCTCAAAAGATTAGACAATTGGAGAATAATTTGGCAAATATTTAACGTTAGTTGCTCTGAAGAGCGTGAAACTTCCAGAAAGACTACATCAAGGAAATAATGCAATTGGGGGGTTTGGCTAATGTTCATATTATAGAAGGTATCACTTTCAACTGGTATAGTGTAATGGAAAATTCAAGGTAATCAACAGTGAAAGTGTCAGCAGTGATTCTGATGGGTAATTTGGTCACTTAGTCCGAGAAATTAATGTGCACTCACGGTGCAAATAACACAAGAGTAGACACTGAATCTTCCAAACATCAAAACTTGTTAAGTGTGTTGAACATTTATTTCAACAGTGAAAATGATGACTGCAAGTTTTTTTCATTCCGGATACGCCATTACAAGGTAGAGGAGCTGAGACATTACATTTTGAGTATCGTCTTTAAAAGTAGCCATTAAAGCAAGGGAGTCATCACCTGTGTATGCAACAGGTGTCAAAGGCTTGTCGTTGTTTACAAACAAGTGCCTTTGCATTTTTGACATATGTTATCATCGCTCAGGACTCGCAAGTGCACAGGAGACGGCCCCTCTACTTTGAGGTTACAGATACGACATTCTACAATTCTGAAACTGTTTTAAAAAACAACGCATGGTGAAAGTTTCTAAAGGTAGAGTACATGTGCATGTAACAGACATGACATGTATATAACGACATCAGTAGGCAATGCGTTAAACATAATTGCACATGTTCCTCAAAATTTTATTTTCAATCTTATTCAGTTAAAAATCGAGTTGAATAGGGAATTATTTTTACTTGAGAAGTTCTTCAAGTAATGTTCTGAAAAAAATTAATTCACATCAAAGACATCCTTGTCTTCTACCCCACAAACATGCAGAGATAGTGGTGCTCATCAGAAATCACTTGCCTGTATAAACCATGATCTATGACATCCCAGCATTTGTGTAACACCACAGCATCTACAACATAAATTCTGCCGTGTGTAAAAGTCTTGTGGACGTTGTGTTTTAGCAAAAACTACTTTCTTCTCCACGTCAGGATGAAGAGGCACAAGCTGCATAGATGTAGGTCTATGATGGGAAATAAACAAAAGGATAAATATCAAACTTTTTGATGATAATGTATTCATATTTAAACACAAATTTACTAAGACATGATGTATTTGGTTCCCACTGTATACCACTTCAATTTTTACGAGACCATTTTCAGGGATAAAAAATGAACTGCCATCTTTCAGTCTCGACAAAAGTTTGGAATGTTGCTTGAAAATATGATTCCCCTACTCATCGACAATAATTCAAATTTATAATTTAATAATAAAAAAAAATAATTTAGCCATGCACAGAATTGTTTCAAGCCATTTGAATTATTGTAACAGCAGTTAGTATTACAGTATGTAAATGCAGTCGTGCATTTCAAATGGGAAAGATGAAATTACAAATAAATATTCGACACGGCTACGAGAAGAAAAACGTGTGTTACTTTATAATGTAAATTTGATATGTACAAAGCAAAAAAGAATGAGAGATAGAAGAACTTTTGTGTTGACTCCCTACAGAGGAGATACCGCTGGGATCACACTGCCCTGACATGAAGGCTTTATGTAACTGAATATCTGTCATGCAGCAAAGACATTTATTGCTATCCCTAATCATCAATTCCACAATTTTTATTATTTTAATCTACATCCCCTGAATTTCAATAAAGGTGAAGATTTACAACATGTAATTGCTAAGCTCTATGTCCAAATGTCGTTGCTGTAGTCAGAGACGAATATTGAATTTTCGTTCTAGTGATGGTCTCATGTGACCCCAGAGGAGATTTACTGGTGGGCCACAACAGGAATCTTCCAATTAAATCACTGCCCTTTTCACCCGAGCATGAAATGAATCAATGTCAGTTTTTGTCATTTATTCTCATGGGGATATTACAAATGCTGTACATGTATATATATACAATGTATGAAACATTTTTATCACACATTTTAGCATGTTTTCTCTATGGAAGGTCAAGTGTTGGATCATTGACATTTGAACCTTATTAAAATTGAATTGGTTCACAGAGCCACAATATCTCTTTTATAGTAGACTGAACCAATGCAAAATCCAGTGTCCAACTGAAAATCTGTTCTGGTTTACCAGAGGAGAGGATTAAGGTCCATTTAATAACAAATTATGTGCTAAAAATAAATTATTTTTAAATATCAGAATGCATTCAATGAAACTGTTACTTGTCCCGAGTCACATACCCAACTTACTTATAAAATTAACCTAGATTTGAATATTTTTGTATATTCACAGCTCTTCCATTCTTCTGAATATCACTTTTAATGTTACAAAACATCGAGACAAACATGAAAAAGATTTGACAATAAATTTTTATTGGGACCATAAGAAAACAACATCACCTTCAAAACATGGCGACTACAATATATGTATAGACGTTGTGTTCAGGAATATCAAGACAATAACCAGAGAATTATGTGTAATATGTACAGGAATATGAATACAATAACTCTAGAATTATGGGCAGTGTGATAAGGAATATCAATACCCATGCTTAAAAATAGATCTATTATGGTGGGAATTTGTTTTTATGAAAACAACCAATTATAACATGAATAAATATTGACACATTGAACCAATGGAAAACATACAGTTTGTGTTGACAGTGCATAAAAATATGAATAATCCAAAATGTTTGATCCAAAAGAGTATTCAACTGAAACCAATCCAGAGTGTGACAACTGCAACACACAAGCTACAGGGAAGTTTGAGACAAACAAAAGTGAAAAATCGCAACCTTGGTTCCTGGGAAAGTGGGATTTTTCTTTCTCACATGTTGAACAAAATACATTAAAACACAGAAAACATGCTTAAAGTTTAGATGCAAGAAGGATTACATTAGTGGATGTATTATTCCACATCACTACGGTAATCCTAGTCCCTATAATCCATTGAATGTACAAGTACCAAGCAGATAGAAATGATACAAAGTATTTTTGAACATGGCTGCATACAAGAACTACACGACAAATACATATTTACAACGTTTCAACAAAATCCATTCATACACAAGATCTGACTTCTGAATGGCGGAAATGCTCGACTTTAATGAATTTTCAACATATGAAAATGGCAGCCATTCGGCCATCTCAAATCAGATCATGTACGAAAGGACATACATATTTATCGTGCATACATGCATGTATGTAGTGTGTGAGAAGTTTGAATGTGATTGGCCGGGGCATGTCTAAGATAACGACGCAGACAGATGGACGATTGAAGATCAATATCTTCCTCAGGCATGAAATCACTAAAAAACAAAACTGTTAATAAATTTTGATTCTGTATTCTATTCTATTTGCTTATCTACAAATAGCTTGTTATTGGAGACATTCAGCAGCAATACAGCATACAGCTATTTACCATTTCTAAAGCAATGTTGTTATTAAAGTTGAACATGGTGCCCTACCAATTTCATCTACTCAATTTGTAGTTCAGGCTCATGTGTCACACATTGCACAATTGATTAGTAGTTTGCAAATAACTGCCAATCTACTATTATCATCAAACCAGGACATTTTACACTGTATCACGTACATGAATGCATATATAGTGTTGGATCGTTTTGTTTTCACACTCCCAGTGGCCAAGAATGTGAAAACACATTTTTCTTGATCAATGTTGGTTTATAGATGAAAGCTTGTTACAATTAATAAACAAGTTTGAACATCTCCAGGGATACACAACTCAGACTTCATTCACCTACACACTCACTGTGTCTGTATTAAAATGTCTGCTAACTAAATGACAGAAGAATAGATCTCAATTCATTACGAAATCACCTTAAGAGATGGCAACTGAAATGAATAGGTGGCCACGTTTGTTTTCCAGAAGAATCACGAATGTGAATGAGATACATGTACTAGTATGTCCACTGACACAAGCTTTGCAGTGCATCGTTCATTCGTAAGGTATCAGATACAAGTCCAGATGATGTCATGAACTTAGATATTTGCTTTCAGGTACATTGTATGAATGGCCAATTTTATGCGACTCATTTTATATAGATGTCCTGAAGCATCAACACAAGCACCACTTAAACAAGGGAACAATATCAGATAAACAAATTATTATTTTGAATGTTGCCAAGGTGACATAAATCAGGTAATTTATTGAACAGTAAATAAATGAAAAAAACAAGAAACTTGGACCATATTGACAGAAAAAAACATCACACACCATCATTAGATTTATTTAATGATCATGTTACCATGGTAATTTACATGTAGATTATTCTCCATCAGTCTGTTAAATTATGTAGAAAATTTTGCCGATAGCTCATTGGATATTATTAGTTGAACCATGCCAAATTGATTGATTCATGCATGGTGTACATAGTTCATTGAATTACTGTAATAATAACAGGGATGGTTAAGTTTTTTTATTTGGGACACAAGTACATTATGGTTCGAAAGTAACTTTACTTAAAAATTGTACTGTCCAAAATTTTGTTTGAAGTATTATGTGTACTGTAGTAAATACAGCAGCTTTAGTATTCACATTGACCTATCCAATAGCTGAACATCACAGAGTAGTTCTGTAGCTTTGATTGTGATTAAAGCTTCCAACATCTTAGTACAATGTATGCCATCAAGTCACCATATCACAAAATAAATTTTGGATGTGAAGTTTTTCAATTACGATTACTCAGATGTACAAAAATGTACACCAGACTCTTGGGCATTTCCCTGGATAGTCATAATGCCCCTCACTTACAATTTTACATGACATTTTACTCTTGTTACTACTGTGTCGAAGTGAATTGCATAGTTCTAGGTTAGTTGTATTTATGCACCCAAAACATAATACATACAATGTACAGCAATGCAGGACTAGATTTATTGTAGTGAAGACAATAAATAACATTGCTATAACGTCAGCTTTCAATCAAAATAACTTTTAGATTTATGTTTTTGTGAAGTCACTCACAATTGCAAAGGCTTTAAACTATGTTTTGTCGGCATTACAACTTTAACATTTACAATATAGCTAGCTTCATGCTGGCTTAAAGTTACGTTAGCTTGCTTTTAAAACTGCCACAAAGCTACAAATGTAGATTGAGTAATCTGTCTCATTAATAACATTGGTAAATGATATAAATTGGTGAAATTTATAAATTGGTATGAATAAGTTTAAATTATTGATGACAATGATACTCACTTTTAAAAATTATAGTTTTTAATGAAAAGACAAAGCCAGCTGAAAGCCAGCTTGGAAGTTCTGCCTGGACTGTATTGGAGTGTACTGCATGTGTGCCACTATAGCTGTCTGTACACTGTACTGTGATGTACATTAATGGGGGATTAACAGTCTAATTATAGCACATACATGAAAACACACATCTACTGGTGAAAATATTTTGTCATCAAATCAATGACATGCAAGAGAAAGAGATACCAATCAATAATTTTTAAAAGCTAGGAAGTTCACAAATTAGCTGTGGCATTTAGCAGACATGAGTTTAGTTTTTGATGTAATCCATCACTTCACCTTCTGTGTAATTGTGAGTAACCTGCTGAGTTACAGTAAAAGTTGACTGATGTGAAGCACCCTTTTAGCTGAAGTCTCTCAGTCTCAGATGATTAGAAAGCACATTGAAATCAAGACTGTCAATAAGGAGCACAGCATCTTCCATGACTGACTGCCCTAAAATACACGTAAAATCTGGAACATGCAATTGATGTAAGTTATAAAGTAACTATTAATGTCACCGATTATAAACAAGCCATGCATGGCACAGTCCCCGTTAGTTATCAAATTTGAGATATATAGTTATGTTTATAGTAATATAGCTGGAATATAACCATGTCAGGAATATGATTTTTTTAACATTAAAATGATTGACATTTGTATCTGATCCTCAAACAAGTACTTGTCCATATTGAGAGATATTGCTCTGGAACAGCATTCAAAATCAGCCATTTTAAATACATGTATATATATATATATATATATATATATATATATATAACATGATGTATAACGAATATATAAAATTTGAATACAATCAGTCAAAGTATTTAAGAGATATGGCTTCTAGAAGCCCAATCATTAAAACAAAATGGCCGCCAGTCAGCTATTTTGAATCCAATCTGAAAATAAAATGACATGCATCAGGAACCTGTAATGTCTAACGTGTGTTATAAGTTTGAACAAAATCCATCCATAAATGCAAGAAATGCTTGATATTCGAGGATTTTTTTAGCACAAAAATAGCACACTTTGAAAAAGATCATCAAACC